CATATGTATGTAAGTAAATAGCTTTTAATCGCACAAACGCAATACTCTTAACATTTCCAATTAGCGGTGTATTTATATATGTATATTGCAAAGAGAAAAAAATATCGTTCGAATTCATGTGAAATTTAGTTTAAAAATTAACGAATTAACGAATTAACAATAATTTATTTATTTTGCATTTCATTAATTCAACAGCGAAACATTTGTGTTAAAAATATTTCTGCATATTCACTCACACATATGTACATACCTACATTTGTTACATGCATACAAGCACTTCATACATGTGTAGTAAGTCATGGATTATTGATTTAGAGTCTATTTAATGGCATATAAACATATGCATGAATGTATGTACATGTGTAAGGCTTTAAATCAAATTGGAGAAGATGAAAACATGAAAAATCACTTTGAGTTTGCGTTTAAGCGTTCAAGCATTCGAGCGAATAAATGTGGGCACGCTTCTACAATATAGCCGCGTATGTATGTGTAGATGTGTATATGGAATAGTGCACAGTATTGAAATTATATATAGTAAATTTGGCTATTTTTCATAATCTCTTTTTTTTCGTGGTGAAATTTCAAAGCAAAGGTCTGCAAAACTATAAAATAAGAACGCGATCGTAATTTTTTCCTCCTTTTCTTTTAGGTGTCACACAATTTATAATTAATTCGATTCGAACGATTTTCCTAAATAGATGGCGTTGGTGAGTTGCAGTGATTCTGATGGATTTCTGTCATTTATACGAGAAACTTATGTAAACAGCAAATTTAATATTTATTTGATGGCCTTCAGCTGGGTGCATTTGGATTTAGATTTTATAGACTTTTTTTTGCACTCGACCAAATTTTTGCTATTTCAGCCTTCCATTTTTGAGTGAAATTAATAAATAACAAATAAATGCATGTGAAAATAAATATGTGTACATACATACGTTCATATGCATATGTATGTATATATTTTTATTTTTAATTCAATATTATGTATTTTTTTTCAAAACATCGTTTTCTTTCTTGGACATTTTTTTTGGGTGGAAAAAAGTAAGTTTCATTTATTATATGTATATAAAAATTAAAAATTTTCAAAAATTCACTGCTAGCTGTTTCTTCGAACATTTTCGGCGGGTTGCGGCAGTGGTATTTCGAATCAGTGGTCTGATATTTTTGGAAGCACCAAAACTCTCTGAGCTAAGAATACATCATTGCAAATTGATAGTGCGCTACCGTTTCATCAAATTTCGCCATTTTAAAATTAATATAAATATTTCATAACCATATAACCGTTATATGCATATAACATTTTTTTATTGAATATAAATTTTGTAAATAATAAATATAAATAAAATTGGTACTTTCGCTAGCAAAGATGGATATTAACATTTTAATTATTTATTTTTAAATTTTTTACCTTTAAATGAAGGTAGCATATAAAAAGCGCGCAGCGACTGGCGAGTAATATGTTAATTTTTTTTAACAATAATAATATTAATTAATATCTTATGTTGTTGTTTGTAATTAAATCGTTTGAATATTAATATATTTACTCGATTAGTGTTAATAAATATAGTAAACTATTGGATTTACTAATGTTCACTTAAGGACAAACCAGATGTGATAAGCTCGGGCTAGCGAACAGAGGATTGAATAGGTAATTTTAATTACTTTGTAGGGGGCAAAGCTGTAAATGATAAAACACAATTGTCATGAATACTTGTATGTACATACATATTATGTGTACTGATAAATGTATGTAGCTAAGTCTGGTTGTACTAATCAGTTTTCAGAACCTTTAAAATGCATGCAAAAAAATTTTTTTTTCAATATTTTTTTATTTGATAAAATTTAAATTCCATTAATTTGTGTTTTGCAAACTTTAAAATTTTTGGAAAAAGATATACTTTTATAAATTTTTTTATTTCTTATTTCTTAAGTTAAAATATTTTTATTTTTTATTTGATTTTTAAACATTATATAAATTTTTTTAAATAAATATTTTTAAGTTTTTTATTTCTATTTGTGTTTTGTATATTTTTAATTACCTTTTATTTTATTAATATTTTTTATATAATTTGTATTTGCATTTAATTTAAATAAATTTTTTTTTTCATTTTTTATAATTTTATAATTAGTTTGTAAATTTTATTAAAATTTTGTAATTTTCATTTAATTTGTATTAATTTTATTTTCAATTTTTAATAAATTTATTCTTCTTTTAATAAATATATAAGTAAAAAGTACCATATGCATTCTAACATTTCTGCTATAAAATCAACGTTTTATAATTAAAGCCAATATCTTTTTACGTTTTATGATTTTTTCCTGCACCGTTAATTGGCATTGTCGGTATTGGTTTACTTTTACACCTTTTTCTGTTCACATGCATTTGTTTGCTAAAGTTTTTACAGTTTTATATTTTACAAGCCAATGGCTCATATTTATTTTATATGCATATAGATACATACATACATACTTGCATACAGGTAAAAATAATTAAATGTGATAAAAACAATTATTCAATTGTCATAAAAGTTTTAAAACTTTCTTCATCGTCATGGAAGCACATGTGAAGAAGGTATGTATGTGCATACATATGTACTCGTACGTAGAAGGCATGTAATGGTATGTGTGCAATTTGCAATTAGGCTCATGAGAAGTGTAAATAAAACATTTTTTTAATTTTCTTATTTTTTTATTATTATTTATTTCAAATTGTATTTATGTATGCATGTACGTATGTGCATATTATTAAGAACAATTGACTGTCAAGGAGACCGAATGCGGTGCGCTTTTGAAATCAGTTGACATTGCGGCATCAATTTCACAATAAAGTCGTAAAATTAAAGCGAACATTTTCATAAGTACATACATACCTAAGCGACAATGCAAAGCTTTTATATGAAATTTTATTAAAGAAAAAACTCTAAGCAAACTTCATTAAAAAATTAGCCCATGATTATACGAAACGTTCAAAATTAAAGGAAAAATTTTGTGATGAGTAATTTTTGAAAGTTTTTGATGTTTTTGAGTTATTGCTTGTATGAGAGATATGCTTTAAAATAAAGTGACCATTTTTATTTTTGAATTACATATTTCTGATACTACTACAAATATATAAAGAAGATTTCAGTTTCATAAATTTATCAGTATGGCATTTATGACACTTTTTGATGTTTTTGAGTTATTACTTGTATGGGAGGTATGCTTCAAAACAAACCAATTTCGCTAGTTTTTGCTTTGTTTCCTTTCAATATTATTATAAACATATGCACAAAATTTCGACCTCCTTCATTGTTTTAAACGTCTTTTATGGCATCTTTTCGCGTTTTTGAAGTTAGAGTTGTTCGGGAGCAGTTCTTCAAAATAAACTTAACACGCTCTTTTTCGAACGGCATAATTATATTGGTAAAATAAATATATGCAAAAAATTACAAATTTATTTGAGCACTATTTCGGTTCTTATTTAATTTCCAATGTTTAAAAATTAAGTTTTTAAATTTTCGCACTTTTTGTTTTGATATTCTCTGTCATTCTCGAGTCCAATCTTGTAAAGCAAATATAATAAATGAAAAAATCACAACATTATGCCAATCTCATTAAGCTGTTCTATTGTAATTATACACTTCAGGTGTTAGAAAACTTGAAAAACTGTCAACAGAGAACTGATAATTGCTGTAATTTGACAACTGCAAACTCAAATATTTATTAACAATGAGTTTAACACACGATGCGCATATGACTTAATGAGGTTACACAAATGTAAATATATTTGTACATTTGTATATATGCACGCAGGCAGCAATAAGGTAGGAAATAATTTTTGTCAGTGTACGTTTACTGCAAAATTAATGCAGTTATATTTTTTATGTGTTATTTATATTTATTTGCTTGCTGATCTTGTTTTAAAATACATATAAATTTATATATATTTTAAAGAAAAACGTCAACTTTATATACGTATGTACATATATTATTGTTATCACGCTTATTTAATACGAGTATATATTTATACTTATTTCATTTTAAATTTTTATATGCATACATATATTATACTTTACTTTTATTATATTATATATATTCTTTGCAATTAAATTGCATTTACCACATAATAAAAGTCATGAAGGCAGTTTTTTTGTTGTTTTCTTCAAATATAACTGTTAGAAAAATCATTAAAAAAAGTGAAGTATATTGAAGGGGAGAGAAGCGCACTAAAAATTATTATAATTTAATATATGTTCTATTATTATTATTTTACTTTTAATTTTAAAAATAAAATACACATTTTTTTGGTAACTTTTTGAGAATTCACTTAATTTTTTTTACCATCAATTTTCATTTATACCTATACATATACACGTATGAACAAGTCTATTTAAATTACACTTCGAGAAATTATCATTCATGCTTTAATTAAAAGTTTTTAATTTGATTTGACGCTACTTGGTAGAGACATGAAGTAAAAACTAACTAAAAAACGAAACACATTTTCGTTTCGAAATTTTCCTGCAACAATTTTAAGTTCATTTATTTCATTTTAATTTTATACTATTTTCATATTATTTAATTTATTTTACTTGCTATTTTATTTCGCTTTAATTTACTTTATTTTATTTCATTTTACTTGACTTTGTTTAATATTATTTTACTTGTATACTTTAGTTTGTATTTTATTTTATTTTTTTTTTAATTTTAAATATTTCATTTTGTATTTTTTTGTTTTGTTTTATTTTATTTTATTTTATAATATGTTATTTTAATTTTTTTTTTATTTTATTTTATTTCGTTTTATTTAAATAATTAATTTTTTTTTATATTTCTATAATTTTTTTATTTTTTTTCATTTTTTTTATTATTTTATTTCATTTTACATTATTTTATTTTATTTTTGTTTTTTCATTCAATTTAATTTTGTTTTAATTCATTTTATTTAACATCCAATAGGACAACACATATTTCCTATACTATAAATACATCAAAAAAAATTGTTCTATACGAAAACTTACAGATATTTCAATTCGAAAAATAGTAAATAAACACACAATACTGCATATATGTTTCCCGCGAAAATTGTTTGGTCTTAGAACAGCACAAACGGCAAACAACACTGCCGCACACTCACATTAGCGCATATTAGTATTATACGTGCAATAACAGCAATTGAATTATGCAAACCGTTAATTGGCATTAAAAATATGAATTTATTAGTTTATTACACTTTTACACATATGTATTTACGAGACAGCGTGACGCGATTGTTATGATAATTTAATTTTATTTCTGTATTGTTTTGTAAATATATTTTTGTTAATTAGGAAATAATACACTGCGTTTTGCCGGTTAATGCAACCATACAGAATGAATATCGAACAGCAACTAAAAGTCACAATTCATTCAACCAGCTGAGTGAGTAGGTGAATCGTGCACTTACATACTTAGTACACCTAAATACACACTACATACTGGAGCATTTAATTGAAAGCTAACAAGCAGCTGGTAGTCATCGTGCATACGCTGGCAAGGTAGCCACGCAGATTTATGCATGAGATATGATAACATGCGGGTAAACAAAAAGATTCATGCCGTGGGTGGTGGATTGTATTTGGCAGGCGTATGCCTACATGCGTATAAATTTGTTTATGAGACTTGTGGGCGAACCGAAAGACAAAGTTAACACTCTCTTCGAAATTCGAAGCTGTAAGGAGTGCTGTTAGTTTCAAAAAGAGTACAGAAATTTTCCTAAGCCCTTCATTTACGTTAAGTAAAAAAAATAATTTTTTTAAACCATTCATTTCGATTTTAAAGCACTTAAACAATTTACATAAACTTTATTCTAAATCCAAAATAATATTATATTTAAACTACGAAAAAATTTCTTTCATTTGATACCAAATATATTGTAATCGTAACAATAATAACGAAGATATTCAATTTTCTAATCTCTAAGGCCGCGATATTCTCTTGTTCTGTTGTTAACAGCCAGTTGATAATTGTTACAACAGCAAATGCTAGCCATCTGGCTGTAAACTTGCCAACACAACTGTTCTGTTAATGTTAATGCTATTAACAGACAGTCTGTTTTCTTCTGTTATTGGCATTTTTGTTCTTATCAATAACATTCGCTTGTTAAGAGCATCCGATGTTCTGTCGGCTTTAACAGTTGTTGGTATTTATTTATTATGGGTGAGTGGGTGGCGTGGCTGTTGTGAAACAGAGTGCCGGGCGGTACTGTTGGCCGAGGAAATAACAGAAATAATGCTTTATTGGCTTAAACATTTCACATTTTCTATGTTTTCTGCACTACCAAGCCAGAAAATGTTAGCGGCAAAACTGTATTGCCAATTTTGTAAAGCAGCGCCGAAACAGTTAATGTTTAAAATGTACGAATTCACATGTAAAGCAAAATTTAATATATGAAACAACAGTGGTCTATCATAGCTGACTGTTTTAGATAATATAATGTATGAATGTATTGTACATCATGACGTATAATATTATATTTGAAGGGCTATTTACATAACAGGTTATTTTAAAGAACTTATGTTATCTATCAGTATATTTAGAGTAATAGAATGTAGCTATAGCAAGTTAGTAATGTTAAAGTGTACAAATGCATAAAAAAGCTTAATGAATTGGTATTAAATAAAAAAACTTTACAAAAATTAAAAATATAAGCATATTTTAAAAAGATTATTCTTTTCGAATACAGTTATGTGTGGTTGTGAATATGAATATCTGAAGTCGCAAGCACTTTGAAAATTGAACAAAACAGCACTTTAACACTAATATTCAAAATTTAGGCACGCTACTCAATCGATATGAAACCACTGAAAATTGCTCCAAAAGAAAAATATATACACTATTTCGTTGATATTATCATGGCCTCATATATTTTAATGTATGAAAGTAAAAGTACTGTTAAACTAAAGAGAACCAAAAGTGATTCGCTCTCACTTTAACGGTTTGTGGAACTTGAGAATAAAGTAATTCCGAAAGCCGGCATATTTCCGAAAATGAATGCTATGCAGTGAATAAGTTCAAATGCATTTTAATTATACTAAACTGTGCTAATTTCTCTCTGTGTGTGTGTGCGCGTGATGTTTGCTTCCATCAGCTTCAAGATATATTATTATTTCAAAACATACGAGGGAGCCTTTCCGTGTTCAACCAATGGGTTCTCTTTATCTTTAAATTATGCCGAGACTTCCACTTGGTATCATTACCGTTGTTATATTTTTCACCCTTCAGCGCATTTTCTTTTTTGGATGATGGCAATACTCACTGGGGGCCAGGTCTGGGTCCAACTTATACATGGCAGCCAAAGCAACGCGCCTGTTGCACCGCCTTTTTTCCTTAATGAATTCCTTTACTCACACTATCATTGAAGCGTTATAATTTCCAATTATAAAAACACCTCTATCTTTATAATCGATCAGTAATATTCCTTTCGGGTAGTAAAAGACCCATGCCATGAGATTTCCAACTGACTGTGACGCCTTAAATTTTTTGGCAGCTGCTGTGCCTTTTTTATGCCAATGCATGGGGTCTTGTTTCCTCTCGAGTGTACAATTCGATTTTCTTCTCCAGTATGAATTCGACACATACATTTTTTTAAACCGTTCGGCGTAGCTTCTACCGGTCATCACGTCGTCACGTTTCTAGGGATTCCCCTCCTTGTTTTTTTTTTAAATAAACTGTGGCACTTGTACATCATAGTCATACTCGGACAAGTGCCGCCGTAAACTAATTGCTTTAGAATACAATAACAGATGAGATCCAATAAAATCCCACACTTTGGTACTTAAATCTCAATAAATCGTTGTAGTGTGCCGAATTTTGTCTTGCGATAAAGTTGAAGGCTCACCAGCCCAGTAGTAGTACAGCACAGTATTTAGACTAGACCACTCTCATGCGGGTCTGTTTAGAATATTGATATTTCCTTATCCTCTTCTTCTTTTACAGCTTAATATGGCATTGCCACTGTACCTCTCATATTCTGCGTTTATAATCCAGTTAACAAACAGGACGTCAGTGGCAATGGAAGATATCAAGTGAATCCAAATCAATCTCCACTTAGTCTCTCCTATAAAGGGTCTTCCCCTATTTCTACCGGCAGGTACTACATCGAATACTTTTAAAGGTGGAATGCTGTTATTCGGGATATATGACCTAACCACTCTAGTTGTGATCTCTTTATTCGCTGAAGTAGACCAACGTCGTCATACATACGAGGTGTGACAATTAAGTAATAAGACTGATTCCATAAAAACCGTATATTTCAAAATTATTCTACAACTCTGCAATCCCCTTCAAAGTAGTCCCCTTGGGCAGCTATTCAATACCTTTTCCATGTTTCGTAACATTTCGGGAATGCTTCAACTGGAATGTGCGCGAGTACCCTCGTCAAGGCCGCCTAGATGTCCTCAATCGACTCAAAATGGGGCGAGAATAATGAGAGAATTATATAGTTTAATCTTTGTTCTTCTAGAGAGATCATGATGTTTCAATTGGGTAAAGTTCAAACAGGCTTCCAAGATAGGCCTCGAAATTATTGCTGTTAACAGTGACGTGACGAGTCGGGAATGCATGACTATTCGTTTGATGATAGGAGATATTTCATCTTATCCTCGTTCGTTATCTCACCCATTCGGCTCGCTTTCTTAATCAGCCTGCAGTAGTTGAAACTAAGGCCGCGGTTATTGAGGCCAATGATATCAAAATGATAGTTAGCGAAGTTTCTGTCTTTGTGCTCGCTGTCTGTGGCACCCATTGTTGTTTCCATCGACAGGCTATTGCCACCTAAATTCTTTACAAGGCAAGTTTCAAGTTCAGCGTACAATCTGTAAAGAAGTCTGTTCGCCGTTCGAAAGATTAAAATCTTAGCTAGCGTGCGTGGTAAGCACCGAGAAGAGACTAGAGACTGAGGAAAGCGCGCTATCGATGGTTGCCAAGAGTGATATAAATTTACCAGTTTAATTGAAAGTAAAATTAAAATAGATAAGATTTGATTATACTAACAGAATTTGATTGCAATAAAGACCGAACAAAGATTAGTTTAAGCAAATTAGTTTAGATTAGATAAAGCTTTAAAGACTTGGGAGCGATACCAAATTTAAGTGCATTCTTCTCGAAACTAAGTATTCAAGGACGTTTGGCAAAAGTTCTCGAAAACTTAACACAGATTTTCGAGACACAAAAATAACAATTTCAGTTTATGTTCTTAACCTATGATGATTCCGTCATATTTTGAAAAGTTACTGAACAGAAATTTTTTCACAGAAACTTATCCTGCCATTCCTCGCTCAACCCTAGTGAATGAGCTTGCTTGGACTTCTCTAATTTAATCAATCAATTACAGTGATCATAGCTGGCTGAGTAAGTGAGTGCACGAGATATCCACGCTGCTACTAACTAAGATGTCTACGATCTCAGCCACACTCTTCAGTCCAACATAGAAAGTGACTTAACAGACACCGTTGTGGCAGCAGTTGAGTTATCCAACAGATTTTTGTATTCCTTGAACTTAGCGGGGCCCCACTACACGTATTACTCTTGAAAATCAGTATGCCCATTATAATGCTAAGTAATATAATATTAATCAGTGGAAACTTTGCCAAAGCATAAGACTAGCTGTCATATGATTACAAAGCTATGTAATAGAATCAGTAATTCTGACACCGGAGCTTTCAAAGGTTAAGATATCCTAGTTCTGTTCGACAATCCCAATTAGAAAAACTAATTTTCTATAATCTTGAATGTTGGTCGGGCCAGCAGTCGATTCCTGGTCTTCCGAATGACACTATGCAATGCTCGGCTATAGCGACCGCTAGTTTTTTTTTGTATAAAAAGAATTTAAACATACTTTTTTCTCCCCCCAACGAACTCTCTCACCTCTCAATTTCTTGTTGACCATAAAATACTAAAACAAAATCATCTCAATAATTGATATGATTCATTTCCAAAATGCTTAGCGGTTTGTTATCTTTCTCTGTATTTATTTATTTACACTTTTTCGAATGAGAGAAAAACTTAGATACATACGTACATACATATGTTGATATTAATCAACTAAATAGTAGATACCATCAGCTGGTCTTTGGCTCTCTAGGCGCGCTAATCTCCGCAGCTACTTTGACTTAGCATGTCGGCGCACGCGAAGAGCTTTTTCACTTTTTCTATGAACGTGTGCAAGAGCTAATTGACTGGCGGAAGAGTGGATGCGATCAGTCAGTGCACGAAAGTGCTTAGGAAAAGTAGTCGTTTTTTGCTCGCTTTCAATAAGTCTCGCAATTAATTGTATTTTGCTAAGTAAATTAGCTTATTATAGTCTTTTTGTTGTAAATAAATTTAAATAAGTAAATTAGATTGGTAAGCGCAATATGCCTGGGAGTAAGCATATTATACCACACACCGTAAATCCCGATCTGGAGCAGGAACGTCATGGCGCTAGCTTTCGTGTGGATGAATTTGCCCGCTGGTGGCATGGCGGTGCGGCGAAGTTACGCTTCAAGAGAGAGTTGGGTAAGTAACAAGTGTTTTGTTTTTGTTTATGACGAGATTTTGACCTTTGAACGTGTTGAAAGTGGTTGTGGGCTCGTCGACTTTAGTTGATTTTTTTTTTTGGCAAGCAAAGTTTCGAGGCAGTTCTTGAGCGTGATTGAGCAAAATTATATACATACATATATTATATACATATATATATATATATATATATGGCCGCTGGGGCGATTTATCGACCGAGCTCCTTTACAAATTTGTGGTTTTGCGTCTAGATATTTTTCCAACAAATGGAGGGACCTACAGCTTATACTAAGTCGCCATGTCCGAAAGCGTGGACATTCCCTGGGGCGACGGCAATTAGAAAATTTAACTTATTGTAACTTTTGACTGTTGGTGGCACCGAGATAGGAACCAGAGCCTTCAGAATATCAGTACACAATGCTAACCACTCGTGACTCGAATTTATTCCAGCCGAAGGAGCTAATTTTTGCAGCCATTTGTGCCGTATTTCACTAATAAAGCGCCGAATATTCTCTTTGGGCTTAACTGGGTGGACAAACTACTGCACATAACCCCACAAAAAATAATCCAGTTCAGTTTAGGAGGCCACGACACAGGCTCACCACGCTATATAATTCGCTCACCAAAGGTTTGCAGATTGGCTGTCAGGTACCATCGTAGCGCCATCTTGTTGTAAGCGAATTTCGTCCGGATTAATATCTTCCAATTCAGGCACGAAAAAGTCATTAGTCATGGCTGTATAGCGTTTTCCATTGACTGTGACATAATGACCGACCCGGGTCGGATAAAAAACCGACTGTTTCGCGAACTATTGGTTTCAATTGGCTTTTACGACGGGAAAGCTTAATCGCGGGCAAATTCTGAAGCCCCCAAACAGCAGGTGTCAAGGTTAGATTTTAGTTTAAAGTAATGCGAGCTTGGAGTTTTTTATAAATCACAATCAGGGGAAAGATTAGCATTGGTTAAGTTGAAGTAGCTTGCATGCATAGGCTCACTTAGCCCACCATATGCACCCGCTGGGAATCTAGAAGAAGGTTTCAGGTCTTTCTTTCTCTCTGCAGCTTCTGCTTCTTGATTGTATGTCAAACATCTATGCAGATTTGTGGAATAAGAGATGTCTTGCGAGAAGATCCTTAATTGAAAAAATCTCACGATGAGCACACGTGAGCTTCTTTTATCCCTTATTGGCCACATTATTTGAGTTGCATTGCAACTGTGAGGCTTTTTCAAGCTTTTCCAACCTGAGGTAATTAGAAGGGCAGTGACCCATCCCAAGCTCAGAGTGAACTGCTTAACCATCACACTAAGTGGCCTGCAGAAAATCTCTGGTGTTTTCGATTTTGTTGAGATTTCAGGGATCTTAGTGCCTCCCGGTTAACCAAAAAGATATGGATACGATTTCCGAACAGTACTATTGAGTTTAGATATTTGAAAATCCACATTTGGAGCGGCATGTTTGGCTTGTTCCGCCGGACATTACTGCATTGACCCGGTGAATGAAAATATTTTCCAATACCAAGCTACCTTGTATAGACTCTTTGAAAATTATTACGTCATTGAGGTGGCGTATGGTTTCTTACCTCTTAATGTTAATGACGTCCGAAAGCAACCCACGATAGACGAAAAGTACAATGTCCCTATAAAGCTAACGTAATTCAAGTCAACAGACCAACAACTGAAATTTACGGAAAAATATATCAGCCATTCGAAGGTGGGTTAGAGAAAACCTCCATCAAGAAGTGAATAGGGAATTGAATGAGAACCTTGCCCGAAAATCGCAAAAACCTTTTATCTTCGTCTACTCAAAGGTTCTGATAATCATTTCATTACGTCGGCGTATCTATTTGGTCTTTAATATTATTTATAGAGATCCATGAACTTCTGATCCATTGACTGAGCTCTTGGACTGTAATCCGTTTTGGTTGTAGCGGCTCAGTTCTTTTGGAACTGTTAATCATCGAATCTGCTTAGGATAGTTCGGGAATAGAGCTAACTGGACGACCACACGGATCTCTGTAGCGCTAACACTAAACTCAGTCCTAGGACGGATCCATTTTCCTCTGAAAAACTTTTCAAATTTTTCACAATTTTTTTCTCTCTTTTAGAGCAAGAAATGTTCAATGACATGACCGAGCACAACACACTGCTACACTACAAATCCCATGAGGAAATCAGCGAGATAGCCTTGAGACAGTCCTTGGAGGTGGCGAAAAAGTTGCGCGCTATGCAACAGCGCATCAACCCAGGCGGCAATGATATTTGGCCGTAAGAAATATGGCATAAAATCACAAAAGTATTACTCTCTAACCTCACATATCTACAGCAAACTCTACTCGGCCGCTGCAGTTTGGGGGGCCATGCCTGGTGGTAACCCGTTTGGCGTACACTTCGTCATGATGGTCGAGGCGATCAAGACGCAGGGCACCGATGAGCAGTGGGAACGTTTTGGCAAACGTGCAGAGAATTTCGAAATTTGCGGTACTTATGCGCAAACCGAGCTGGGCCATGGCAGTTTTCTGCGCGGGCTGGAGACACGCGCCGATTACGATCGTGCCACAGGCGAATTTGTGCTGAATACGCCGAAGCTGAGCGCATACAAATGGTGGCCGGGGGGTTGTGCGTGATTGAGTCGTTTTATTTATATTTATTTTCTTTTTATCAATTTGTGTTGCTCTTTTCAGTGGGCCACTGCAGTAACTATTGCCTGCTTGTCGCACAACTGTACATCGACGATGAGCCGAAGGGTTTGCAAATGTTCTTCGTGCAATTGCGTGACGAGGAAACACATATGCCTCTGCCTGGCATCGACATCGGTGAGATTGGACACAAGAGGGGTTTCTATGGTGTGAGTAATGGCTTCTTGGGTTTGAAGAATGTGCGTATACCACGCACGAATATGCTGATGCGCAACGCCAAAGTGCAGCCGGACGGCACATTTGTCAAGAGTCCCGCCTCAGTGCTGACCTACTTCACCATGGTCATGATGCGTTGCGTTGTGACACGAGATAATGCAACACTGCTCGCCATGGCGGCGACAATTGCGACACGCTACTCCGCGGTGCGTCGCCAAAGCCCCATCAATCCCAACGAACGCGAACCACAAATTATGGATCATGTGACGCAACAGTTGAAGCTCTTTCCCGAAATCGCGAATGCCATTGCTTATCAGCTATCCGCCAACAAGCTGTGGTCCTTGTATCATGAAACCTACGTTGATATCGAACGTGGCGATTTCACGCGTCTGCCGGAGCTACATAATTTATCCTGTGTGATGAAGGCGCTCTGCACGGCCGACTGTAATGTGGGCGCTGAACGTTTGAGATTAGCCTGTGGCGGTCACGGTTATCTGACCTCGGCCAATATGCATTTGATCGTTTCTTCTGCGGCAGCCGCTTGTTCCTATGAGGGTGAGAATACGGTGTTGTTATTGCAAGTAGGACGTTTCCTCATGAAGTCATGGCGAGCAGCCACCGAAGGTAAACCTCTAACACCAACCGCAAGCTACTTACGTGGGCCAGCGCGTGGTGAAACATTCGGCAAATGGACTGGTGAATGGGCGAATATCGTTGCGGCGATAGAGTATGCGGCTGCGAAGTGAGTGGCGAGCTTTGAGTGTTAGGGACTCAAACCATAATTAGTTTTTCGTAATTTCAGTAAAGTGCGTCTGGCTTTTGAAAGCATGTCGCAACGCCTGGCGCAGGGTCAGACAGATGCTGAGGCGGCTAATGGTACGGGCATTGAGTTGACTCAAGCCGCAGAGGTGAGTAGTCTATGAAGCTATTTCTTGCAGTGGCATTTCAAGTTTTAAAATATTTTACTCAACATCCCATAGCTTCATGGTCGCTCGTTCGTCGCGGCTACATTTTTAGCTTACGCTACTGGACCCACCGCATCAGAGCGTTCTGCTGCTCTCAACAGAGTTTTGGAAAGACTCTTGGAACTTTATTTAGTGCACACTGCACTGCGGCATTTAAGTGATATCCTGCAGGTGAATTGTTGAAATCATTTTTTTAACCGAAACTCATATATCACCCACCCACACAGTGTATCAGCTTGAGTGATGCCGAACTGCGTTCGCTGCAAACGCGTCTCGAGAGTGTTTTGAAGAAAATACGTCCCGACGCAGTGGCAATTGTGGATGGTTTTGACTTTCATGATCGCTGCTTGAGCTCGGCTCTGGGCTCATATGATGGTAATGTTTACGAGCGTCTCTTCGATTTGGCTAAACAAAGTCCTTTGAATCAGGAGCCCGTACCGAAGTCATTCCATAAAGTGTTGAAGCCATTCCTTAAGTCTAATTTGTAAAATGAGTTTTTGGGTGAAATAGTTTAAAATGTGTCTTGGCTTCATAAAAAATCTAAAAACTTAACTTCAAAGATTTATTGTTTCATTAAATTTTTCATTTTTTAATAAAAAATATAATAAGAAATGTGTTTTAATTAAGAAATTTGGGTTTAGTGACGCAATCTTCGGGAAAAAAGTTGTTGGGTGGTGGGGAGCCTCTTTTATGCCAATATGATCTTTTACACGTCATCTACTTCAGTAAAACATCTTGAAAGCCTCTCTGTCCAAGCGCTAGACCAAAGGTAGTTAGGGACGCTATGGTATCTATTTCTAGACAGGGTTCTGCAGATGATTTACTCCGTCTTTAGGGCTCTATAATTACACCTATATGTTTATACCGAAGGTATTCCGAAGCACGTAAGTACCAGCAAGAGATGAGGCAGACCCATTAACTTCATACCGACTTGGTCAGAATGACGAGTTGAGTTGATTAAACCATGTCCCCATGTCCGCCTGTTTTCCCCAGTTTCTGATATATTTCAACCAAACTCGGTACACATATGTACTGTTACATTTAAAAGATCATTTGCGACCGGTGGTTCAGATTTAAGATTTTGGGTCATGCATTTGTCGAAAAAGCTTATAAGACGAACTAAATGTTGTTGCTGAACATAATTCATATCGGACGGTTATAACATAGAGCTTCCCCACACCGATATTTTCGGATATGAGGGTTTCGATTTTCAGCTGAGGTGGTGTACATCTTGCTGTTGACAAATGGAGGGAGCTACAGCTTTTCTAAACCGCCTCCGAACGACCGATGTGTCAGTAATACACTCAGAGGGTCTGTCATTCGCTGCCGAAGGATGACCGCATTTAGAAAAATTAATAATGGATGTTGGTCGAACCAGCGTGGTCTAAAGTTTAGGTTAGGTTGTAGTTCTACCGGTCTATCGAGTCGGATTCACTTAGACTTGACTAAGCTTCATTGTTATACCACAAAAACTTAGATATCAGGTTTCGTTATCCATCCATTCTGATTATTTAATTAACCTAATTAAATCCAGCCATCTGCAATAGACCGTCTAGCAGCAGGGCACCAAATTTACGAAACCTCGCCTTGCTCAAAGCAGAACAGTCGCATAAGAGATGGGAGATCGTTTACTTCCATTCACCCCCTGGTAACTTCTACAGCATCTTCTGTAGGGAGTCCCTACTCCTTCCGCCTGTCGCCCTATCAGACTGTGACCTATCAGAACACCTATTACTTTGGACATGTGAGCTCATTTTAAGGAGTACATATCTCGCGTTCACTTCTTATCTCATTTCGGCCAGGTGTGCCTGAACGATCGGCAAGTTGTAATGTCATTCCATCTTATAGCGGTTTGTTCATATATAAATCCCTTGAGAAGCAGTCTGCAAGCAGCAAATGACATACGAATGCCTTCTTTATCGGGAAGAATTTGCTTGGTCGCACCTTGTTTAGCAAGCTCAGCCGCCTTACAGTTTTCCAGAGGGACATCCTAACCACGGACCTACATGAGAGACAGTCTATTCTGTTTGGTCATCGCCTGTAGAGATCGGCGACAGCTCAGCATTACTTTGAAGTTTAGCCGAAGCGAGCCCAGGCATTGTATTGCTGCCTTACTATCGCTGGCTCGGGGTTTACTTTTGGAACAATTTTGTATTTTTTTTTTTTAACTATGAGTTAATAAAATACTGTTTTTGTTCGCCTTATAGCTCTTGACTGTTAGTGATTTTTAATTTAATTTTTTATCCATCTAATCTTATCAAAAAGTTATCAAAAAACAATTACTCCTGTTAAATGGAACTTTGGTCTTCTTTCCGAAAGACACTCTGAATCAAGTGGTTAGCATTTACAAAACAAAGAGAAAATGTAATTAAATTAATAAAATACTGCAATATGTTTTAATGGAGAAATTTTGTTATAAATTTCCAAGATAAAAACTACCAAAACCGTTAGTAAAAAGCTAATTTGAGAGTGAAAATATTACAAAAAAAAATAATAGAAAAAAAACCGTCACAGTGACTTGCAATTAAGGCAAATAAAAACATAAAACAAATAAAACAACAACAATAAACAATTTTCAATAAAAATGCGAAAATATTCAATCGACTGCGTTGGACTGGAGATTGAAAACAACACTTAGGTGCAATGATAAGAAAGCTGCAAAAAAAAAAAGAGAATTCGAAAAGCTCTTAAATTAATGCATAATAAAAACATAAGTGCGCTCGATCGAGAGTCTTCAGCAGTTTTGAATGCTTGTTAGCTACGCCTTGCTCTCAAGAAGAGAATTTGTTTGTTAAAAAGCTTCAACGCGCGTCGATTTGTTGACAGTTGTTTTAGGCGAATGCTAAGAGTCGGTAGTGAAATTGTATTTGTATTACACTTACATACTCTTTTATGCATATAAATAAATATAAATTTAGATTTTATCAACAAAAAAGTACAAAGTATTATTTTTGTTTAAAGACTTGTCGAAAAGGTAAATAAAAATGCCTGCAACCACCTCGCTCATACCCACACGCGTTAATCCCGATTTAGAGAAGGAACGTCGAGCTGCCAGTTTTAGTGTTGAAGAATTCCAGTGCTGGTGGCATGGCGGCGCAGATAAATTAAACGAGAAACGTGAAATTGGTAAGTTTTTTTTTTTTTGTGATTGCAAACCCAGTGAGCGACGTTTGAAAAGGGAAAGGGAGTGAGCGGCATCTTGAGTTATTGGGTATTTTAGAGATTTGAATGCAATAATCAGAGTGCCAAAGTTCAAAGCTAAGTTTTATTTTTTTGATAATTAGAAAACCTGTATAATTAAATATTATAAATAAAATTATGTATACGCATACATTTAAGAGTCTTCTGTACTTGGTATGTATGTCATTGAACTCCCAATGTATGCGAGATTTTCTTTCAAGGAAGTGGACCAGTGGACCGGGACCCTAGCTATTCAAAAAAAAAAAAAAAAAATATATATATATATATATATATATACATATATTTATGATTCTTTTTACTTGAACATATTTTTTCTTCATGGAAAGCATAATTAGGAAAATACTCTAATGTAGAACTGTTTAAGGGGCACACCTAGTGTGATGGCCTAAAAAATATAATTTTTGGGAATTTTTATTAAAAAAAAATACTTTATCAATTATTTCAAAAATTTAAGAATATTTTTACACATGTTTCAAGAATATACAGTGCAATTTTTTAAGAAAAAAATTAAATATTTTTTAAGTTATAGTCGTTCTCCAACGGCGCGAAAAAAAGGTCCTTCGCTGCTGCAGTGATTCCGGCCTTCTCCGTGAATGAAATCTGAAAAAAAAATTCTCGATAAGCTAATATTGTCTGTACCTACAATAAAAAAAATCAAAAATTGACAATATGGCGGCGTTTTAAAAAAAAATAGTCGAATTTGACCCAAAATTTTGTTCGTTTTTGGTCCGCCAAAATACGATTTTTTGATCAGATCTAAAATCATAGGTCACTGTACGGAGAACTATATATAGAATATGTAAAAAAATTCGATAGTGTTCGGATCATTTACTTTTTGAGTACTGAAACTCTATTTGATAGAGATTAAATTGGAGATAGAGATTAATTTGATAGAGATTACTATGTATTCTTCACAAATCCTTGTGTATAATAAAATATAAAAATCGAAACAATTGCAGATTTCTTTCTAAATCTCACAGAAGAAATTAAAAAAATTGAATAAGAAAATTAAATGAAATGAAAATAAAACATAATAAGCAAAAAATAAAAATAAATAAGGTAAAACAGTTCAAAGAAATAAGGAAGAATAAAATAAAAAATTAAGCATAATATAAAAAACAATAAACAAAACAAAATATAACAAACTTTTCTTCAAAATTATAATGAAATAATCAAATAAAATTTAATAAAATAAAGATTAAATTCAATTACGCAAATAATAAGAAATAACCTAAGAAAATTACAAATAAAATAAAAGAGTTAAATTAAATAAAATAAAATAAAATAAAATAAAATAAAATAAAATAAAATAAAATAAAATAAAATAAAATAAAATAAAATAAAATAAAATAAAATAAAATAAAATAAAATAAAATAAAATAAAATAAAATAAAATAAAATAAAATAAAATAAAGTAAAATAACATAAAAATAATTAAATTAAATTAAATAAATTTAAATAAAAAATGTTTCATTTAATTGAAATAAAATTAATGATTATTAAATAAAATAACCAATAAATGAAATAAATTATACCAAAAAAACTAAATCAAATGAAAACAAATAACTTATTAAACTTATTAAAAAATATTAAAAGAGTAAAATAAATTATAAAAATGGATTATTAACAATTCACATCACTTACTTGATAGAAACCTATCTCTACAAGGATCTCAGAGATGGCCACCTGCATGACTATCTCTCGCACGAGGATCTTTATCATCTTGCAGTGAAGGATGTCACCGAAGCGTCTGTTAAACTACGAAAACTACAAAAACTGCGTAATCCAGGCGGTGACAATATTTGGCCGTAAGCAAAAGCGATTGGTCTTAAGCCGAATAAAGTTTATTATTTAAAATAAATATATATATTTGTTTTTTACAGAAAGAAGCTCTATAACCTGCCGGCGCTGCTGCCAGCCCACCATCCGTTTGCAACTCATATCACGATGTTCGTCGATGTGATCTACAGCCAGGGCACGCCAGAGCAAATTGAAAAATTCGGTAAACCCGCAGCTAACTGTAATATAATCGGCACTTATGCACAAACCGAAATCGGGCATGGCACCAATGTGCGCGGCATCGAAACGCGAGCGGACTATGATCGCGCCACCGATGAGTTTGTGCTGCACACGCCTAACTTGCAGGCCTACAAATGGTGGCCGGGTGGATGTGAGTGGGAGTAAAGAATTTTTTAAACGAGAAGATTTTTTGAAATTTTTTTTTCTATTAAATATGATAAATAACTAGTGGGTCACACCGCCAACCATGCCATGGTAGTGGCTCAGCTCTATATCGACGGCAAACATCACGGCATACAGATGTTCATTGTGCAGCTGCGCGATTTGGAGACGCACATGCCGCTGCCGGGTGTGGATATTGGTGAGATTGGCAAGAAACTCGGCATGGCTGGCGTGAATCAGGGTTTCTTGGGATTCAAGAGAGTGCGTATACCGCGCACAAATATGCTCATGCGCAATGCGAAAGTGTTGCCGGGTGGTAAATTCGTACAGAGTCCAGCATCTCGTTTGAACTACATGACTATGGTGTTTACACGTTGTTTAATCGTGAATCTTTCATACGATTGTTTGCTTCAGGCGGCCACAATAGCAACTCGCTATTCGGCTGTACGACGTCAGAGTCCAATTAATTCGAGGTAGACAGTTTTATGAAAATATTCACCGTTACATTAATTTACTAACACTAATTTCGCCCTCTAGCGATCCGGAACCGCAGATTATCGACCATGTCACACAACAGCAAAAGCTCTTTCCTGAAATTGCCAATGGTATTGCGTATCGCATCACCGGTCAGCATATGTGGGAGTTGTATGAGCTCACGCTAAAGGAGATCGCGAATGGCGACTACACACGCATGGCCGACATGCACATCGTTGCTTGTGCACTCAAGGTGCTCTCCACCACTGATGGCTCTTTCGGTGTGGAACGTTTGCGCTTGGCTTGTGGCGGCCATGGCTACTTGACATCGACCAATTTCAGCACCCTTTATGGCAATGTCATAGCTGCATACACTTATGAGGGTGAGAATACGGTCTTGTTGTTGCAAATCGGTCGCTATTTGGTTAAGACTTGGACGCAGCTGACACAGGGCAAGAAAATGTCGCCCTTGGCTGCATATTTGGCGGAAATATATGATAAGCCTGAAATCGCAGCATGGAATGATAGTCGCTCGTACTTGGTTAAGCTGTTGCAGTTTACGGCCGCAAAGTGAGTAATTTATGGTGTGAAATGGCGAGAAGGCATACTTTTAATGACATTGTGATTGCAGCAAAACACGATTGGCTTTCGAGAATTTAACCAATCGTGTGAATGGAGGACAAACGCTAGAGGAAGCAAGCAATAATACAGGCATCGAATTGACGCAGGCAGCAGAGGTGAGTAGGCATACTACACAAGAGGATGACCCGATAACCCTTAGTCTCAACATAAACCGACTCTCTACGTGACTTCTCTTGATAACATTGGGCTTGTTGTTAACCTTAGACAAAGCTAACTACTCATTGCTACTATCAGATATTGAGAACTTCGCATTACCGCTGAGTTTGTAGAAGTGGACTAGGAATTATCTGAGTAAACCACCGGTAGAATTTTAAAGTCCAACTTTTAAACTCAGGAAAAATTAACCAGCACTGCGCAGAGTGGTGTCTTAAGCCCATTAATTATTATATTTTTACGCCAGAAGCTCCTTTCACTCCCAGAAGAAGGCTCTTTCATCTCACCCATGGATGCTAACAACCTTAATTCGAAAATCTACGGCTACGTTTACGACTTTTTCTGCTTCTTCACTGACAACAACCAAAGACTTCCTTGGCAGGATCCACGGCGATAATTTTTCCTAACTGAACAAAGAATTAGCGGTTAGATCTGGTTATCAAAGTCGATTGGGGTAAACTGGAGCAAACTCCTGGTAAATGGCATTCAGTGCTTGTATGTACGATGTTCTGTCCAGCGGTTGTTGCACATATTGCTGCATTGTGTACTTTAAGTCTAGTACTCCCTTTCTAATCTGCCTAGGTGGGGGTTCAACTTCTATTAGGTGCATATTGGGGTGCTTCCTACGGTAGCAACCCAGTAGGAACTGCTTGCACAGAAGAGCGTTATGCTCCTTAACTCGTAGCATGACGACATCAGGAGGTTTCCTGTCGCGGTCCTGAAGGCAGTATTCTGACAAGCCTGTAACTTCTTCATCTGCGTCGCCACTGTACTTTTCAAAATTATTTTTCAATCCTTCTCAAATATAGTTTGTTTTTTCTTTTCGCCAGCTTCATGGTCGTCAATTTGTTGCTTCGGCCTTTCTGGAACAAATTACAGTTGCAAAGAAAAATCAACGTTCTGTAGCACTCAATTCGGTATTGGAGAATATTTTGGAATTATATTTGGTGCAAACTGTGCTGCGTCACATGAACGACATACTAAGGGTAAACTAAGATTTTTAGGCTTTGAAATATAAATTTTAAATTTTAATTCTAATTCATTTTCATACGTTTTTAGTTCACGCCAATCAGCGATGCCAATCTTCGTTCTTTACAAAATCGCTTGGAATTATCTTTGAAGAAACTGCGTCCGGATGCGGTGGCCATATGTGATGGCTTCGATTATCATGATCGTGTATTGAATTCAACTTTGGGTTGCTATGATGGCAATGTATATGAACGTTTATTTGAGGCGGCAAAGAAAAGTCCTTTGAATCAGAAGCCGGTGCCAGACTCTTTCGAAAAATATTTGAAACCATTTTTAAAATCGAATTTGTAATATTTTAAAAATATACACATACTTTTTATAACTTAAAAAGAGGGAGAAGTTTAAAAAAAGCTGACGTAAGGATGTGTATCCTATCTTGCAAATATATCAAATATATATATGACTTAAACCTATGTATATATGAGCTATATAAAGATCAATTCGTTATGATACTCTTTAACTTAATTTTTCTCTTAATTCACTCTTCTATCACAAAAAATTACCTTTGCAAAGGAGCTCCTGATTCAAACTATGCAATTCTTGTTATCATTTAAAAGTTTGTATTATTTTGATTACTTGATGACTTGCTGAATCTAATATTTGTATTATATATTGTATATTTTTATATATTTGTAGGTATGTACATATCTAAATTTGAAAAACTGCCTCTTAAAAAAGAAGAAATGCCAGAAAATTAGCAATTTTAAGTCTTCAATTTTATTTTTTTCATTTATATATATCATTATAACTAGAATTACAATAAATTTACGAAGCAAACACTTCAAGCCGTCCACTTAAGACAACGTGTATCCTGATGGGTGCCCAAACAACGTATGCAACAGTAGTGTGTGCCGCAAGCGGTGCAAGTGTATTTTGAGAAATTTCCACATACCGCACAAAAGCGTCGCGCTGGCTTATTGGGTGGTGGTGCCAAAGCATTTAAATAGTTAGGTGCATCTGTCGAATTTTGCTTACATTCCTCTAGGAGTTGCGGAAAATTCTTACGATACTTTGCTTTGTAGTATTCAGCGTTTTTCCGCTTAGTCTTCTTTTCTTTCGAATTTTTGATGCCATCTTGGAATTTCGGCACTTTTTTAGACATTACCAAATCAGCATGTGGATCTTCGTGGAAATTGTCTTGCTCGAGCGCCTCCAATGCTTTGCGTGCGCGTCGTTGACGTGCAGCTTCATCAAGTACGCGTTTCTTTTCGGCATCCTTAATGCGATTGGATTCGCGGCCAGTCATGGTTGTTGATAAATTTGTTGAGAGTGTCTTTTTATGTGTGAAGTTTACGGCTTGCAGTGTTTTAAAATATATGTAAAAGTATGGCTATTTAGGGATCCTTTTCATGCAGCGGAAAACTAATACGATCCATTAAATCGTCGACACGTGCTTGTAATGTTTCTACTATGTCGGTAGAGATGAATAGATGATTTTCGTCTAAATCTTGTATGATGAATTTGCGTCCCAAAGCAAGCGTTTCGTCGAGATGTAGTAAAAACTGTTTCATAGCCGGATCACATTCAACAAAAACACCTTTCATTACATTCACCATTGCACTTAATAGGTTCAAATTACATAGAACATGCGTTGAGCTATCCGTTTATTAAAAATGTTTTATTTTTTAAAAGCTTTTCGCTTTCAATATTAACTTTCAAGCCTCAATTCGCGTAATTTCCTGGAATGTTTACAATTTGCAATTGACCATTCAATTTTGTGGCATTAATTAGGTTCCACATAAAATCCACACATATGACTCTGCATATTTGTGCTGCCAGATGAGTAAAAGTAAGAAGTATTTATTTAAGAGTTTGAAACGAATTGCTTAAAAATCGTTTCTTTCAGATATTGTGGTGGAAATTTAAATATTAATTGGAGGTGAAGAGGAAAGAAATCGATGTTCCAGAGCTCTTGATTCAAATTGTGCAACTATTGTTTTGATTTAAAAGCTCACATTATTTTGAGTACTTGATGTCTTGCTCAATCTATTATTTGTATTCTTATTATATATTTTTACAGATTTTAGGCAAGTACATATATAAAATTGAAAAACTGCTCGTTATCGGAAAATTCAATCAGAATTTTATAGAATTCACATGCTAGCAATCTATAGCTATATAAGAGCGAATAGTACACTGGTTAGTTGAGTATTAAACTCGTCAGTGACAAAATCATTGTAAAGTGAAGCGAAGTAAACTGCATGTTCAAAGAAGAAAAATCGGTGTATTTATATAGAAGAAGTTATACATCAAATTTTGGAACTTTTATTTAAAAATCCAGAGATCGGACTTAAAAGATTTTGGAAATACTCGATTAAATCCTTGCAATATAATAACAACAACTTATTTAAAAATAATACTATATTTATTCATAAAATATTTCCACAGAGAGTATTTAACTAAAGCGCAGGCAGCAGTCATTATAAGTGTATATTGTGTGCAGAGGGTCTTTAAGAGTGTCATAAACTAAGTGGTCACATTTTAGGTTATCCGGGAACACTCCTTCTCCGGTCCCACCACTCTTTGGCGAGCTATGTGGCTTACGGACTTGTAGAAAATTAATTTTGCTCACTGTGATCGGCCCTCGGCTGAAAATGTCGACTCCTCCTCCTTTTCGTGTTTCATGACACGAATGCCACACAGAAATCTAACAGCCGCTTGGAGACTGAACTCGAATTTAATTTGAAATGTTGGTTCGGGTTTGAAACCATGATGACCCTCCGCTAATAGGATTTTCTTTCGTTTGCTGATCTAGTAATGATAATTTTTTTTTGTTAAAGGCCTTATATTTACTAACAACTTGTAGCAGGGTAAACAGCTTAATCTGGGCTTAAAGCTGAGTTAGTTACCCAAATTAAACTATATAAAAAGAAAAAGAGCGTAGTTGCCAGCTTCCAATGATGTGCCACACGGCAAAAACCAGTTTATATAGACACTTACATTTGCAGTTATTTGCAAACAAACTAAATTGTTACAGTTTTTCTTTGCTATAGAGAAACTATTAGATGCTGAGCAAAAAACTTCACTCCCATGAATGCTCCGCAAATCGTCATAGTACAAAGTCCTACGCAAACAAGAGAGCCACTCACTTGCTTGGGCGCACTACTTTCTTAGACGTTCTCCACTTGGTCATGCATATATGTATATAGCTGTTTGCATATTCGCACATTGTGGAGCAAACGCGAGCACTACAAGCAATCAAGGGCTATGCCATTAAACGCCAGTGCGACGTTGTTGCCCAACGAAGACTGTCTGTTGTGAATTGTTGCGCTGCGGTGAGCTTTGCGCTTCATACGCGGTGATACTGGATACTGGTGTTGTGCTGTTGTTATTTATTTATTTTGTTTTCTTTCGTATTTCCGTTTAAAAGTGGTGTAAATAAAAATAAAAACTTTTCGGCAAAATGTCCATACCAAAACAAATAAATCCGGATTTGGTTAAAGAACGCGAAAGTGCCACGTTCGATGTGGAAGAGTTTTCAGCTTGGATTTATGACGATATTAATTTGTTGCAGATGAAAAGATTGGTCGGTGAGTTGTGGTTGTCGCCAGTGAATGAGTTAATCTCTAAGAATTTGAATTTTTATGTCGCATCAAAATCATGACAGGTTGACTAGTTCCAGCTCTTGCGAACGTTGAGAAATAGACATATTCAAGTCTTCACCTACACTTTCACTTATAGAGCGATATTTGAAGTGGAACGAGCAAAACGATGATACTCAGACCTTACAATATCTCTAACCTATCCGGCATCTTCAAATTTCTTTAAATCTTAGCATTTGCTTGAGTAGTTGGGTGATTCTGTGCAACAAAATCTCCTCTTAGAGCACAAAACGTGGCCATGTTTTAATCGCCATTTTTTAAATAGGTTTTAACGATCTTAACGCATTCTGCGGTCGTTAAACGATCTATTTTCGTAAATGCCTGATTTTTGGCTAGAACAAAACATGCTTGGTTTGACAGTTAAGTTTGACAGATGTCAAAACAAAGCCCTGTGCTTTTGAAGTTGGAAAAGGTCAGTTCATTGAAGTTGCTTTGAAATCCAAACAAAAAAAAAATAAAATTATAAAAATAATATATATGTATTAGACCAGAAACTCAGGAGCGAATACAGCCACTTCATCTACAAGTATGTCTGCTTAGCGTAAGTTCGTATGAAAAGATGTTTAACCTATGAGCCGCTTCCTACAGTGGAACGCCTGTTGATCTTATTGCAAAAACTCTGTGATCTATTATATCACAAAACTTGTTTAACACTGCAATTACTTGCCCTCTAAGACACTGTTAAATAAACGATATTTGAATAACAAATGGTTTAAATTATTCACTAAACACTATGCAATTCAAAAGAACTCTAATGGCTTAAGCTCAAGCAAGACGCTTCCTCAAGCCTATAATTTGTAGTCATTAACATAAAGTCGCACTTCATTACATGCAAATAGTTTGAAACAGTCGTGTAGCGATTTAAATTTAAAATAGAAACTCATTCACTTTTTCAATACTTATCATATATTTATTAAGCTAAATTAAAGGAAATTATTTAATAAAATTTGTGACGTCACTTCGCATTTATTGCAAAATCTCAAACATCTCATGTGATGACAGTTGATCAGCTGTTGCACTTAATAGCCGAGCTCATCACCGCACCAAACTCTGGTAGCATTCCGGTTGCAGTCCTTGCTAGAAAAACATAGCTGGAGAGAATATGTTCAAAGCAAGGTCAGTAAATCGCTCCGAATTTGGAATACCTTGCAGAGAGAGAAGAGAGAACGGGAGTTGAAGGACCAAATTTAAATTTTGTGAGCAAACTTTTCCCCATTTGCCGAAAAAGGTAAACACACGCAAAGCAGGCGTATAAATTGCCAATGTTACACGTGTGCACTTCCAATTTAGCAACAAGTCTTATGTATGCAAGGCAAAGGAACTTAATTTAAATTAACAAGTCATTCATGAATATCGTACGCGGAAAGGCTTTACGTATAGAGAGAGATATGTGATTTGAATGTAATGATTTAACTTGGACTTGACATTTGGCATTGCATATGTGGTGTTAGCATTGTCTCTATGCCTTCTTCGTATTTACTTTTGAAATAATTAATTCTTTGTTTAAAAGTTTTAAAAGCGTTCTTTTTCTCAGTTTTGCAAATTCTAAATATTTTCTCAAAATTAAATGTTTTAGTGAGAGTTTTTTTTTTCAATTTTTTATTTTAGTTTGATTTTCTGGTTCCATTTGAGGAGAAATTCTTTAGAAATGCGGCTTGAAACTGTTACCATCGATATAAGTATATAAAGAAATTATTTTATTTTTGATTCAAATGTACTTCAAAACATCGCGTGTCAAAGTTATGAAGACTTTCTTATTCTTATTCGAGAATCCTTCAAACCATATTAATATAACAGTTTCCCTTAGAGGCTTCAACTGACGTTTATTAATGCTTTGACGTCAAATGATTTAAGGTTGCCATATTCACGAAATTAGTTATATATTTCGCTAAAGACACTTGGATGATTTTCCGAGATTTGTGTTTTAGCTTCTCTATTGTAAACATGCAGTTTATTCTTCTGTAAACCCACAGCTTTCACTGTACACCAATGTTGTCACTCATGAGCTGTATCCCCAACGGCGGTGTTGTTTTTCACTCTTATATACTTAACGATAACGAAGAATCGATTTCCGCGCTTTAGAACATGCTTTATTATTAGCCTCTCCTTACCACCTCACACTCGTGCAAGCAGAAGTTTTTGTTATGGTCCTCTTGGTGATGTTCTATAATGCCTGCAGCTTTCTTATCTGCCTCTGGCTATTCCACGCCGTCCAATAAGCTGCGTATAATATTTCTGTCTTTTCCTCAGGTGTTGTTGATTATCGACATGAGGATTTTCTTGCGTTATTGCACCACGGCGGCCGTTGCAGTCGAATGCCGGCATCCGAAAGTTACTCCCAGTGGCTTTGGTTTATTTACTTCGATAGTTCTTCGTTCAGTAGTTGAGGAGGGCGTAAAGCTTGCTGGTTAGAGTTGAGTTGAGTCAGTTCCAAGGGCCCAGAAAATTGCCAACAAACTCTTTGTGACATCCGCCTAAGATCTGTAGGCTGGTATTTTCATAGCGGTGGCAAGAGACGTTGCTGTACGAAATCCATATTCCCTCATCCCGATGTGGTTATTATTCCATTCTTTGGCTGGAATCATGCATATGGGCTATGGACAACATTACGGGGTTCTCGCCACATTACTCGAATGAGGCTAAATTTTCTTTCAATCCTCAAGAATATCTTGTCGGTATAATTTCGTCGAATCAGTGAGGAATATGAGGCCCTTCTCACTTATTTAATGAAATTCCTTTTGCAGAAGAGGAACTTTTCAAGGATTCGCCTGATCCCATCGAGCTGGATTATCTATCGTACGAAGATGTCTACAATCGTGGAGTCAAACACTCCGCTGATGCGTTTAATAAGCTAAGAGCATTGCAAGAACGCTTGCATCCGGGTGGCACTGAGATTTATCCGTAAGTTAATTAACGCAACTCTTAATATCAACTACATGTGCTGATATCTTTTCTCTCTTCTTTTCAAAAGTCTTCTTATGAGTGGACCCATTGGTATGGCTCTCATGCCCGCTGGTAGTCCCTTAGCGGTACACATTCTAATGTTCACGCGCGCACTTAGGAGTCATGGCACGCCAGAGCAGTACGCGAAATTCGGACGACGAGCAGATAACTGTGAGATTATAGGTACCTACGCACAAACAGAGCTGGGACACGGCACCTATCTGCGTGGATTGGAAACACGTGCCGACTACGAACGTAAAACCGATGAATTTGTGCTGAATTCGCCAACGCTGACGTCATACAAATGGTGGCCGGGAGGACGTGAGTATTGGAGGTTGCACTAATGCCAACAAGTTGAAAGCCTTATCTCATTTCAGTGGGCAACACTGTCAATTATTGCATTGTGGTGGCCCAGCTCTACATTGACAATGAGCCAATGGGTGTGCAGTTGTTTGTGTTGCAAGTACGCGACGAGGAAACTCATGAGCCGCTACCCGGCATTGATATTGGGGATATCGGCAAGAAGATCGGCATGGCTGGTGTGAATAACGGTTATTTGGGTTTGAAGAACGTACGTATACCGCGCACCAATATGTTGATGAAGAACGCCAAAGTGTTGGCGGATGGCACCTTTGTAAAGAGTCCCGTGTCACAGCTGAACTACTTTCCCATGGTGTATGTGCGCTGCATGGTGGTGCTGGGCAATTGCGTGCTGCATGCCGAGGCTGCAACCATAACGACACGTTACTCAGCTGTGCGGCGTCAAAGTCCCATTAATCCTGAGTAAGTAGATCAATAGTTGTGACTGACCAATTGAACTCTCTGATTTATTACAAAGCGCACCAGAACCCCAGGTCTTGGATCATCTCACGCAGCAAATGAAAATTACGCCAGAGATCGTTACAGTTATCGCCTATCGTCTGGCGGGTGGCAAGCTCTATAAGATGTACGAACAAACTGCTAAAGCCGTCAGCCGTAGCGATTACACGCGGCTGCCGGAGTTGCATGCATTAGCCTGCGCCATGAAGGCGTCTTGCACTTACGACTCAACGTTTGGTATTGAGCGTTTGCGGCTCTCTTGTGGTGGACACGGCTATTTGGCTTCCTCGAATTTAGGTAATCTCTTTGCGTGGGCAACAGCGGCCTGCACCTACGAGGGGGAGAACTCTGTGCTATATCTGCAAGTGGGTAAGATTTTGTTGAAGACTTGGACGGATGTCTTGAATAGAAAGCAGCTGATGCCCACAATGGCTTACTTGGGTGTGTGTGCGAGTTGGAATGAGTTTCCGCAGTGGAGCGGTGACTGGAAGTGTTTGGTGGAGGCGCTGCAGTTTACGGCTACTAAGTGGGTTACAGTATTTGGAAACATTTTACTCTATTAAATACTCTTTGGTTTTAGTAAAACCCGCATCGCTTATAAAAGTTACAATGAGCGATTAAAACGTGGCCTAACGGAGCCGGAGGCAGTTAACGCGACGGGCATAGAGCTCACGCAGGCCGCAGAGGTAAGAAAATTGATGGGTGAGGTTGTTTAATTTATTTATTATTTATTTATTTTTATTGGAAATCATATGATTTTTACATCACATCACTTGAGATTATAAGATCCTTTGCCACTCCATATTACGCGACATCATGACTTCAATGAGTTTTGATACCATAGAGTGTAATATATTTAATATATTAATGTCGCAACATCAAATCCTTCAACATAATGTCACATGACATTTACTAAATCATATGATATATCAGAACAACCCATATGACATCATAGCATCTCTCAGAATTAGATCATATCATAATAATAAACCATGACAAACCGTTGATGGCACATCACTTCTTATCATCTTACATCACAGTATATTACAAAACATATCACGTGACATCAAAAAAAAAAATAATAACTCCTTCCATTTCATCTCAGTGTACCAGTGTACATCACATTTTAGTATATCACATCATAAGAAAACATAATATATCACATCATATCACATTATAACACGTTCCATCATATCATAATATGTCACATTAGAACACATCACAACATATCATAATATATCAATCATATTATATTAGAACACATCATATCACATTACACAAATTATCTTAATACATCACATCATATCATGTCACAATCATATCTATCATAATACATCATATCATATCACATTATATCATATCATGTCACATCATATCTTGTCACAATCATATCATAATACATCACATTACACCATGTCACAATCACATCATATCATGTCATATCACATCATATCATGTCATGTCATGATACATCATATCATATTATGTCACAATCACATCACAATACTTCACATCATATCGTAACACAAAAAATCGTATCATGTCAAAAGAATCACATTAGATCACATCGCATAATTCATAATCATATCATCATCACATCAAATGTATAAACATATTAATTAATTTCGCAAGTGTAACAAATATAAAATCTGTCGTGTTGTTAAAACTTCTTTCAAATTTTCAGCTTCACGGGCGCGCTTTCATTGCCAATACTTTTTACGAAGAGGTGACATTGCAAGAGAGAATTAAAAAACGTTCAGCTTCACTCAATAAATTACTAGAAAATCTGCTCGAACTCTATTTGGTGCACACAGTGCAAAGGCATATGGCTGATATTCTGAGGGTTGGTTTGAATATCTGCAATTATAGCACACATTTTAAATAAATTAATTTCTTTCAATCCGCACAGTTTATTACTCTAACCGAAGATCATTTGACTTCACTGCAAAATCGTCTCGAAGCGGTACTCGCACAGCTGCGTCCTAATTTGGTTGCCATTTGTGATGGTTTTGATTTTCATGATAAAGTTTTAAGTTCGGTTTTGGGTTGTTATGATGGCAATGTATACGAAAGAATTTTCGAAGCAGCCAAAAAGAGTCCATTGAATCAAAAGGCGGTACCAAAGTCATTTGAGCAACATTTGAAACCATTTATGAAATCGAATTTATGAAGGAGAATTGTCTTTTATAAAAATTGAGCACGGTATGGTATATATGTATGTATATGGAGTTGGAAAACATGAATTATGAACACTTAATGATACAGAGTTGCTTAAAACCATTAAAAACAAAATAAAAAATAATTAAATAAAATTAAAAAAAAATTAAATTTTTTTGGCTTGTTATTTTTTTGCGTTTTGACAAACCATGCTGCTTGGTTGTTTTATACAAAATGTAGTTAATTGTTTCCATATACAATATTTAACAGGAGGTTCGATCAAATATTTTGTCCATACAATGTGAAATAAAATCAGATGTCAGAATTTTTTGTTACAGTTTTTCCATTTTATTAATTAAATTATTCTTCTTTCCGCTCTTATTACTGTTTTTTTTACCTTTATCATAATTTGTTTATTATTATCATTATTATAATTTTCATTATTATTGTATTTATTATTTACTGTTATTGTTATAATTATTTTGTAGCAAATGAAAAACCAAATTTGTTCAGTACATTTAGCATTCATTACAAACTATGAAACTGAAGCGCTTACATATATAAAAAGAAATGTGAAAAAATCGAGAAAAATTACAATATATGTATACTTAGAAGTTACAAGAAATATCTATATAAGTATGTATGTATGTACGTATTTTTTTAATTTTCAAAGAAAAAAAAAGAAATTAAAAATTCATTTATTCATATATGTATATGAAACTATAAATTGGAAAGACAAATATTTTTTTTTTTTTTTTGGAAAAATTGAAATTAAATTAGTTATACATATACATACATTTTTTTAATATATGTAGGTTACATATTTATATATATTATGTGTAAATATTGACATTTTTGTAAGTAAATATGTTTCACAATTTAATTATTCATACAGCTTTGCTTGTTATTGTTGTTGTTTTAAGAAGAGCAGCTTTTGTAGAAATGTGATGTGTGAGTGTGTGTGTGTGTGTGTGCTTTGTGGTACAATAAAACCGGATATTTCGTTAAAGAAATTACAATTTATGTTCGTATGTATGCAATTATACATTATGTGTATGAAGTATGTAAATATGTATATGTGTACAAACATATGTATGTAGATAGCGTTAGTTATGCGTTCGAAGAGGACACTTTTCAAAAATTTGTTTATTTATTATTTTTATTTATAATATTTATTTTTATTTTTTTATTTTATTTTAATTTTAAATTTTATATTATTTTTGTTTTACCTTTTTATTTTATTATTTTTTGTTATTTTTTAATTAACCTAAAATTATTTCATTATTTAATGCTTATTACTCTTATATAATATATATGTATGTATGTTTATAACCATTCATTTCCTGCGTATGCTTAACCCAAACAATATTATGCATAATTATGATTTTTTTTTACAGTGTATGCAGTGGTAAAGTATATAAATATTTTTTTCTTTTTCAGTAGCATATTTTTAAATTTTGTTGTTTTACGCTTGTGTTAAATGACTTTCGAGTTCGCATTTATGTAGCTTGTCTGTTATGGCAATCTGTGTTTTTTAGCTAATTAATAATTATTTTTCTTTACTTGGCAGCAAAATTAGAAATTTTTTGCAGTGTAAAAAACTGAAATTTTGCTTTCTCAGCAGAGTTTTATTTTAGTTTTTATTAGTTTTTTTTTTTTTTGTAACAAAATTATTGCTTGTTTTATATGTATGCGTTCTCTTGTATGCAGTTTCATTTATTTATTTATAAACATTAAATTGTTCTTGTATACAAATGAAAATAGCGCACCGATATGTATGTCTGTATGTATGTGTCGAAAAAATAAAATTATTTGCACATTTCATTTGCACGTGCAATTGATTGAGTTTGCTTTTGAAATATGATTTTTCGGCGTACATAGTTTCGCAAAAAGCATAAAATTTTAGCGGCAGTAGTTTACTGTTTGCAGTTTGGAGTTTTAGTTTTTTTTTTTTATTCCAACTCATTTCCTCTCTTCTTTAATTTATTTAAATATAAAGTAATTGGTTTTTCGAGTTAAGCAAATGGCGTAGTGACTTAATGTTAATAATTAAAGACTAATATTTTCGCGAAAAATATTTTGATTGAAATGCTAGTAATAATTAATATGTATATATGTATGTGTGTGTGTATTGCAAAGTAAAGGCAACAGTGTTGGTAATTACAAAAAAAAAAAAAAAAAAAATAGACACAAAATAAAATTAAGAAATTTAAATAGAAAAGTAGATTTTGAAATTACACGGTAATATTTTCAGACTTTTACTATTTAAAAAATTTTACAACAACTCGAAAGAAGTCTAAAAGGTTATGGAATTTTGCGGAAATAAAATTTGAAGTGAAAATTATCTTGATTTTGCTAAACTTTAAATAATTAAAAATTAATAATTTATAAAATTTGTCATAAAAATATTTTTTTTTTGTATAAATTTTACTAAATAGCTGGGAATCTATTGAAAAATAATGCAAAAGCTTGTTTTTCTTATTAGTTGCAACTTAATTAATGAGTTAAATATAATTCATCAATTCATTTAATTATATAAATAAATGCATGTAGGTACTTGAAAAATATAAATATGTGGGCACTATGGTTTGATTGCAAAAATTCAAGCAAATCATTTAAGATTGAAGAACAACGCAAATTTTTTCACTATTTTCCTTAAGCAGCTTAGCGTTAAAGTGAAGAGTGAAAGTTTTAACTATTTATCATTTAAAACGTGGAATATTCTTTAATATAAACTACAACTGACTATTAAGAAAAATTGTAAACAAAGAAAACATTTTTAATTTCGCAGTTTAATTCAAAATTTAATAGTAAAAAAAAACTCTATTTACTTTCAGTGAAAAATATAAATTTTTGTTATTTAAATTTTTCCAACTTTTCGACATTTTTTATACCAAAGCAACTTTATTTTGTATGATATGGGGAGTAAATCAAAAAGAAATTACTAACAAATTCAATTTAGATATATAATATGGTCGGAAGAATACAGCAGACTCTTAATATTGTGTAAAAAATAATAGAAAAAAAATCTTAAACAGCTTAAGTATTGATTAAGGGTTGCCATTATTAAAATATCATAATTACAAATACAGGAGTAAATATTAATAGAGAAAATATTCGTTCACGATTATTTGTAAATTTAAGTTTACATAACTATATTAAACATTTTATATACCGTGTCTGCTTTTTTTTTCTAATTTATTATATGTATCAACTCTAGTATATAATAGTAGATGACAGCACTTGTTAATCAGTTATTCAGTTGTTAGTTTTAGTTATGGCATTTTAAACATATTTCGAGGTGTAGCTTTGAAAATTTTAATTTCTTACTTTCGTTTTCGTTATTTATTAGTTAATTATAAAGTTGTTTCAGTAGCATATGGTAGTTTGAAGTCTTGTTTTATTATTGATCGGCTTTTAAAAATGAAATTTTTTTTCTTATTATTTTAATTTTTCAATTTGTTTCTTTGAATATTTAAAGATTTGAATATTTAAGATTTTTATTTATTGAAAATTCATATATTTCTTAACAATTTAATTTTATTTTACTTTCACTTTATTTTATTAGTATTTTTCATTTCATTTTTGTTTCTATTTTTATTTTACTTCAACTCATTTTTTTCATTTCAATACATTTAACATAATCTAAATTTATTTTTAAATTAAGTTTAATTTATTTTTAATATATTTAATTTCATATAGTTTATTAGTATTTTATTGGATGAGTGCATAAGTTCGTGCCCGATTCCGCTGGATGCCGTTCGAATCGTTTGAGAGTGGCGCTCGTGAAAGAAATATATACATATTATATATCGTTGGAGAGGTGACAGTCCGAAATATAAACCAAGCATAAAATAACTTTATTTTGATTTGAGTTGATTGCCGAACTTGATGGCAAATACATAATTGATTAATAAAAGCGCTTTCTTCAAAAATTTTAGTTTGCACTTGAAATCGGGCACGAACTTATGCACTCATCCAATATTTCATTTTGTATGTCAGTTCACGTCTTTTAATTTTAAAATTTTTACATTGTTTTATTTTGTATTATTTTATTTTTTACCTTGTTTCAATATATTTAATTTTATTTTATATTTATTATTTTTTTCAAATTATGATTTTTAATTAAAATAAATTTATTTTGTTAAATTAAGTTAATTTATTTTTTTTTAATTGATTTTAATTTAAAATATTTTATATTATTTAGTTTTCTTTATTTATTTTATTTTGTTTATTTATTTTATTTTTTTATTTAATTTAATTTAATTTCCAATTTCAATATATTTAATTGAATTAAACGTTGTTTAATTAAATTAAATTAAATCCAATCCAATTAAACTCTATTAACTTTAATCTAAATAATTGCTTGAAAGACTTTGATTTAATTTTATTTTAAATTTCAGTTTATTTAATTATTTAAATTAAATTTAATACAATTTAATTTTATTTACTTTATTTATTTAATTTTTAATTTAATTAATTTTATTTATTTAATTAAATTAAATTTAATCCAATTAAGCGTTATTTATTTTAATTCAACTCAAATAAATTAATTCAATTAAATTTTATTTACTTTAATCCATTTATTTATTTAATTTTTTATATATATTAATTTATTTAATTTAATTAAATTATTTCAATTAAAATTAAATTAAATTTATTCCTATTAAATTCTATTATTTGTTTAATTTTTTATTTAATTTGATCTAATATTATTTTAAATTTCATTTTATTTAATTATTTAAATTAAATTTAATACAATTTAATTTTATTTACTTTATTTCTTTAATTTTTAATTTAAATAATTTTATTTTTAGTTTAATTTTATTTATTTAATTTAATTAAATTTAATCCAATTAAGCGTTATTTATTTTAATCCAACTCAATTAAATTAATTCAATTAAATTTTATTTACTTTAATCCATTTATTTATTTAATTTTTTATTTAATTTAATTTAATTTTGTTTTTAATTTCATTCTATTTAATTAATTAAATTTAATTAAATTTAATCCAATTAAATTTTATCAACTTTAATCAAATTAAATTAAATTAAATTAAACTTAAATTAAATTAAATTTAATTTAATTTTTTTAAATGTTGTTTGATTTCATTAAATTTAATTTGGTATAATTTAATGTAGTTTAATTAAATTAAACTTTAAGTGATATAATTTAATTAAAATATATTATAATTAAAATGAATTAATTAATTAAATAAATTTAAATTTTATTTCATTTTATTTATTTTTCTGCTTTAATTTATAATCTACAATTATTTTATTGAGCTTTATTTTATTTAATTTGATTTCATTATTTTTTATTTTATTTTATTTTTTTTTAACTTGATTAATTTATTTTACATAATTCTTTTATTTTATATTAAGTTAATTTTTTTTGTTTAGTTTTTTTTAATTACATTATTTTATTTTCTTCTTATTTTATTTTATTTTTTATTTTTTATTTTTTATTTTTTATTTTTTAAATTTTTATTCGTTATTATTTTAAATTTTTCTTTTATATTATATATATATTTCATTTAATTTTTTTATTCTATTAAATATTATTTTATTTTAAGTTTAATTTTAGAGTTTTTTTTATTTTATAGCACTTTATTTTATATCATTTGATTTTATTGAGTTTAGTTTTATTTTATTTAATTTCATTAATTTTTACTTTTGTTTGTTTTATTTTTTTATTTAATTTGATTTTATTTTAATTCTTTTTGTTATTTTTTAATTACATTCATACTTATTTCTATATTTAATTTCTTTTATTTTAGTTTTTAGTTTGCTTTATTCGATTCTTTATTCGACTTTTTTACTTTAAACTGCAATTTTTGTTATATGTTTTTTCCTGTCAATTATTTCTTCCTGTGTTTTTTTCTCAGTATTATTTTATTGTAATATAACATTAAATTTTGATTAAATTTATTTATTAAATTTTGTTTTTTTATGCCAATCTCTATTTATTAAATTTTTTTTAATTATTATTTTCTCATTTCTGTTTCTATTAATTCAATAATTCGTTTTTTTTTTATTTTTCTTTAGCGATACTAAAAATTCACATACATATACATAAATTTAGTTATTTCTATTTTTTTTTTCTTTATTTCAAGTGCTGATTCTTACACACATTCACATATAAATATTTACTTAAATTATTAAATAGGTGTGTATATGTGTGTGTGTGTTATTAGCACGGCATGTATTCTCTGTTTCATTTTTGTTGTATGATTGCTATTGTTGCTTTCACTATACTTTGTCTGTGTGTTTTATTGTGTCAACATTTCTATTTATACCGTTTTTTTTTTTAATTTTGCACATTATTTATAAATTTTGCTATTTTTATGAAAAGTGTCCCACCCTTATATAAAGTATTTATGTTAGTCATATATTATAATTTCTTTTTTTTGTTTTTAATTTTAGCTTTCTACTTCTATATTCAATTTATATTTAAATGTATAAATTTATATAATATTTTTGAAATAAAAATTCCATTTAAATTAAACTTGATATTTTCGCACGCACTTTCGAGCGCCTTGCCGATTTACACACAACTGAATTTCCTTTAATTTTTCATTCCATACATTATTTAGAGCCACCAGGGTTAGTGAACTCATTTGCTTTAGCGTTTCTTCTCACTTTTTTAAATTTGTTTTGTAACTAGTTTTTTTGTTGTATTTTTTGCGTTACTTAAATTTAAATAACTTATTTATTACAAATTAAAAAATAGTTGTTTGTTTGTATGTAATGATCAATATTATATTTCTTTTTTGTTTTTTTTTTCTTTTTACTTTTCTTGTCCACCTTTTCGCTCCCACTTAATTTCTTGTTAAGTCCATTGAAATAAAAACTTTATACTTTACACTTAATTGAGTTATTTTCTTTTTCCCGCGAAGTAATCATTATTACCCTTGAAATACATACATACAAAGGTTTTGTTGCTGCTTCTATCAAAGTTGCTTTCCATTTTTTACATATACATATATAAATGCAGCAACGCGTCTCTGAGTTTGTGTTAGTGTTTCTGTGTGTGTGTGTGTATGTCAAAGTTTTAACGCTCAACCTCTTTCTGTTGTTTTTTTCACGCAATCAAAAAAAAAAACCTCAAAATTTTTAGAGTCAAACAAAAAAAAAAAATGGTTCGTGTTAATTTTCGTTTTAAACTTTCATACTGTTTTGTTGTTGTTGCTGCTTCATTCTTTTCTTCGTTTTACTTTGTTGTTATAATTTTCTGTTGCACTATTTACTATTTACTTATACGCTTAACTTTTATTTAATTATTTCCTCACTTTATCATTTACTGCTTCTCCTCATCTCCCTTTGGGGTTATTTCTACTCGGCGCGCTGACATTACTTCACTGCCGTCCATCTTGCCACGTTCGCTTCTACTCTTCATTACCACTGTCGTTCGCTCTCTATCTCTCTCTCTCTTGCCGCTCTCTATCTCTCTCTCTAGTACCGTTGGGAATTATCTCAGGCATAAAATTCTCGATTATTCGCGTTTTTCGCATAAGAATTGACCGCCGGCGAGCGTTTTGGTTCGTCAAGTGCATATGAGCCTTCGTCCTTTTTCCGCATGCGATAAACGATGAACATAACGACGAGAATGGCGCAGAGTAGACCGACAACAGCGCCACCGATGACAGCTGGAGTGTGTGAAGTGAAAAGAGAAAAAATGTTTAGTTTTCAAAAAAAAAAAAAAAAAAAATTGATTTAAAATTTTGCTGAGCGGTATTCCACTCACCTGCTAAAATGCCGGGTTGGGCGAAGAAGCTCGCCGTTCGATCGTCGTCGCTGGTATTCATGATGAGTACTTCGTTGCCAGTTGTGTGTTCGACCACTTTAGTATCTGTCGGTTGGCTATTAACGTTGTTTGTGTCTAGTTCGTGTATGGTATTGCCTTGATTGGTGGTGCCGCCTGTTTCGGAAGAGAGTTGGTATAGCGAAAGGAGGAGAAGAAGAAGAAAAAGAAGAAGAAGAAGAAGAAGAAGAAGAAAAAGGAGAGGTAAAATATTTTTTTAGTATTTTCTTATATATTTTTTCTTTATAGTTAACAAATATTTGTATAAATATTTTGAATTCAAAAAATATAAAAATCAAATTAAGAACCACGACGCAATGCTCAGCAAATAAAACATTTTTTACGCAATAAATTTTTGTTAATTTTTACATAAAAGGCGTCTGATACTCAGATATCTCGCTGAAAATTTACTCCAAAAAGTATGCATTTTTTTATGCTGTTTAAATTTAATAAAAATTTTCGATTCCGCTTGCCCCTCGCAAAGAGAATTTAATGCATAATTTTAAGTGCATTTCTTTCCCTGCTGTGAGGCTAACAAATTTTGTGAGTATCGCCAGAATATGGCGTAAATTTAAATATTTCAAATTATTTTTGTACAATCATTTGCTGAGCATTTTCACAAAATTAATTGATTAATTGATGTTAGTATCAGTACAGCTGTGTTGTGAGTTTGCTTGGTATGATTTCTTGTTAGTTCATGATTTTCTACAGAAAAAAAAATGTGTTTAGAATATTCCAAATTTTTGCGGCGCAGCAAATACTACTACATGCAATCAAAAATTCCAAAAAAAAGAAATGAAAGAGACTCAAAATAACATATGTATTTGCATACCGAATTCTACTGAATCAAAGTTATGTTATATGAAAGCGAAAAAACTAAAAAATAGTTTTGTAAATAAAATAAAAATACTTGGAAATACTTAAGATTTAAAAAATCGATAAAAAATATTTACTTTAACTTTAACTTAAAATTAAAAAGAAAATATTAACTAAAATAGCTTGGATAGAAAAAAAACATAAAAAGTATAATAAAATATAATATATAATAATAATTTGTAAATATCAAAGATTTACTACGAGCTCTTAAAACCGGGTGAAACCATCACAGGGGATCGCTACCGAACGCAACTGATGCGCCTTAGTCGCGCGCTAAAAGAAAAGCGGCCACAATATCAAGAGCGACATAACAAAGTCATCCTCCAACACGACAATGCTTGGCCTCACGTCGCAAAAGTGGTCAAAAAGTACCTGGAAACGCTGAAATGGGAAGTCTTACCCCACCAGCCTTATTCTCCAGATGTCGCCCTTTCTGACTTCCACCTATTCCGTTCGATGGCACACGGCCTGGCAGATCAATATCTTCAATCCTTCGAAGAATTGGAAAAATGGATGGCTTCATGGATAGCGTCAATAGAGGACTCTTTTTTTCGAGCCGGGATCCGAAAATTGCCGGAAAGATGGGAGAAAGTTGTCGCTAGCGAAGGACAATACTATGAATAATATATCTGTAAGCACTTTTTCGCAATAAAGCTTTTAATTTTGAAAAAAAAACGGCGGAAGCAAAATTGTACACCTGATACATATTTGAATCTCGGTTGAAACATCATTTTTAACTCATTAAATAATAAAAAATACCTATCATCAGATTTGCAGTTGCTAAATGGTGAATATATCAATGGAAAATTGTTTGCAATAAATATATGAATTTCCAGTGATAGTTTTGAAGCCTTTTATGGAGTCGCTTATTTAAACGACCCGATAATTTGCATGCTTCTACAGTACGTTCTTTTGTCATTTTAATACAAGTTTTATATGTATAGGCAAATAGTATGCAAAAAGTGCAGAAATATGCTAAAATTAGTTGAAACATTTTGTTATCCAAGGTGAGCTCATATTTGATTTCAATAATATGAATATATAGTATATAGTAGTCGTTTCTGAGACAAGCGATATCTTTTTTTTTTAACTAATTTTTAGTTATTTTTTTAACTAATGCCACTACAATTTTTTTTGCAGAATTTTTTCAAGTCGCTTATTTTACCGATCAGCTAGAAGCACGCAGAAAATGTGCGTTTTTTCATTCTTTAACTAATAGCATATTGAAAATATGTTTTAAATTAAAGATTAACTTAAATTTAATTTAAATTACATTACTCATATATATTGGATGAGTGCATAAGTTCGTGCCCGATTCCGCTGGATGCCGTTCGAATCGTTTGAGAGTGGCGCTCGTGAAAGAAATATATACATATTATACATCGTTGGAAAGGTGACAGTCCAAACTGTAAATCAAGCATAAAATAACTTCATTTTGATTTGAGTTGCTTAGTGAAAAGACGCATGGAAGATGGATAACGAAAAAGATCATATGCGTCTTAATATGTTATACGAATTACGCAAAGGAAAAACAGTAGGCGCTGCAACTAAAGATATTCGTGAAGTTTATTGGACCGTGCTCCAGCACTCCGCACAATAAAGAAATGGTTCGCGAAATTTCGTTCTCGAGATTTTAACCTCGAAGATCAGCCTCGCAGTGGACGGCCTTCTGAGCTTGATGACGATGGTCTAAGGACTTTAGTTGCGAGTAACTCACGTATTTCGACGAAAGAGGTTGCCAGCGAATTGAACGTCAACAAATCAACTGCGTTTCGTCGTTTAAAAAAGGTTGGGTATACTTTGAAGCTCGATACATGGGTGCCACATCAGTTGAGTGAAAAAAAAAACAAAGTAGACCTTATGTCAACATCAATTTCTTTGCTTCGACGGATTAAAAACGAACCTTTTTTGGATCGGCTCGTGACTGGTGATGAAAAATTGTACAAAAATGTTCAACGCAAAAAAACATGGAAACAGGCACACGAAGGGGCGGAACCGATGTCGAAAGGTGGATTGCATCCGATGAAGGTACTGCTGTGCATTTGGTGGGATATCCGAGGCATAATCTATTTTGACCTCCTGCCAGCTGGGGAAACGATCACTGCCAACAAGTATTGTCATCAATTGGTCGAATTAAAGAAAGCAATTGATGAAAAACGTCCGATTTTGGCCAATCGCAAAGGAGTTCTTTTCCACCATGACAAAGCCAGGCCACATGTTGCAAAACCGACCCTGGCCAAACTGAAGGAGATGAATTGGGAAATCATGTCGCATCCCCCTTATTCACCCGACATTGCACCTTCTCATTATCATTTGTTTCGATCGCTGCGGAACAATTTGAATGGAAAAAAATTTAAAAATGTGGAAGACGTCAAAAACCACCTTGACACCTTTTTCAACGAGAAACCGCGCGATTTCTATGAATCAGGCATCCGTAAATTGGTTGAACGTTGGGAGTGGATCACCGAACATGATGGCGAATACATAATTGATTAATAAAAGCGCTTTCTTCAAAAAATTTCAATTTAGTTTGCACTTGAAATCGGGCACGAACTTATGCACTCATGCAATATTTTATGGGATTTTAGATATTTTACTAAAGTTTTTCAAGTTGCTTATTCAACCGATTTGATGATTTGCATCATTCTACAATGCGTTCTTTTGTGTTTTAATAGCAGCCTAATATGCCAGCAAGTGCAGAGCTTGCACAGAGTATAAATATATGCTGAAATTACTTGAAAATAAATTTTAAATCAAAGATAATCTTCATCTAATATTTTATACATATTTTTAAAAAGTTTTCTGTTTATGACAATTTTCAGCCATAACTTCTACTCATTATTTCATGGCAAATTTATTAAGACATATTTATTTATATTTTTTTATTTTTTTTTAATTTATTTAAAAAAAAGTGCTTTAAATCTGTAAGCACGCTTTTTCAATTCATTTAATTTATTATATAAATTACTTGCGTTTCATTTGGAAATAAATGCAAAATTGGGAAAACTTTTTTGAAAGGAAATATAATACAAATTCAATTGTATTAAATGCAATTAGAATACAAAAGGAAAAACCATTGCCAATTTAAATTCATTTAAATACTTTCCAGCAAATTTCTAATACTTTTCCTTTGTGTTTTCACATGTACATACAAGTACATATGTGAGAATTTTTCTACTTTGTTTCTAATGTTATTACAACAATTTATTATTTGATTATTGCTTTAGGTGGAATAAAAAATAATTATTTTTAATTCAAATTTGAATTGTTGGGAAATTTGTTTGGAGAAGAGAATAAATAAATTAGTTGAAATGAAAATAAATTTCATTTAAATACTTTCACTCTATGTGAAAAGTTGTGGTAGTTTATATATGTGTATGTAAGATTGATTTTTCTACTTACCTTATCCTGAGTTTAGAATGCATTAAATATTTTTTTTGCTATTAATTAAAAATTTCATTTTTCGCTTCTGATGTTCTTAGTGCCAACATTTTTTCTAGTTAGGCTAAATGGCTCTAAGCGCAGGATTGGCTAAACGAAAGTGTCGTGACCCATACTAACATGTGAAACACTAATATAGTGAATGAGACTAAAGTGAAAGTGTTATACGAAATAGATATAATGAAACTCTCTACAGTACAGCAGGTCCTGGAAGTCAGCCTCGATTGATCAGTTAAACAAGTTTACAACTAGAGTATGAAGAGCAGCTGGACGCCTAAAAGTTCTTCACCATTGGGTACAGTTTCCAAAGATGAAACATGTAGAAGTTATAACAGAACGCAGCCAAGGCACATGAATCAACAGAGAAAAGCACAAGTAGACTTAACTTTTTCTTCTCTAGTAATGAATAGACGAAAGGCAAGGCAGGGAAGATGTCAGTAGATATACTGATGAGCTTAAAGTCTTTATCTTTCATGCAGGGTTTGTCTGCAGTACTGAAAAATTCAAATCGGCTTTGATGAGAAAACCTATTAGGTTTCTGTAGACATGCAAGCAGCAATTAAGGCAGCTCAATGTGTTCACATAAAAATCAAATTCATGAAAATATGCAAGGATGCAATTAAGAGACTAGATTACATATTGGCTATCTCTCAGGTCCTAGAGCACCACGATGTAGGTAGGAGTCGTCCGACGATTACCACAGACATTAATTAAGTATCCTTGTAGATGTATAAATAAGACATCTAGTCCGGAGAAACTATCTTCATAAATTAGGTTATGTTGAATCTGCTGTGTTCAGA